GCCCCTGACTGGGTTGATTAGACTGTCTTGAAGATCCCGCACTACTAGCAGCAATCTCCCCTGCTGAGGCTGTCCTCCCTGGTACCACTGAGATCCACCCGCTAGAACTGTAGGATACGGCATATAGCCACCAGAAAATTGAGGGTACATACTCTGAGAATACGGATTCTGGGGATACGGATACTATCCTAGGGCATAAGGAACGGCATCATCCTAATAATAATAGGCACCACCACGACCCGTTTGACCATAACTACCAGGGCCAGATACCTGCTGGATCGGCGCATGTGGTGGCAAGAAAGAATGTTGGGGCCTCTGCTGACCCTGGGGACAATTTTGCAGCTCGATGTCCCATCTGCTCATAAGTGAAACAACCACCGTTGCCTCTCCTGCACTCTCCAAAATGCCGATTATTACACCTGCGGTAAATCGGAGCCCTTCCTCTACCAGCATCACCTTGCCTCTGGCCTCTAGTACCCCCAGCAAATCTACCACCACGACCTGACCAGTGGCACTAAAACCACCGCTGGAAGAACTAGAGCTAGTTCCACCTCGCTTAAAACTCTAGGTTTTGGGAGGTCCGAGAGATGCCTGACCTTTGCCGTTGTCATCTTTCTTCTGGTTGCCATCTTTTTCTTCCTCCTCACTCTCGCTAGGCATGTTCTCGGAATCCTCAATCCTCAACAGAATCTCATAGAACTCCTGGTAGGAGTGGCAAGGGGTAGTGGTCGTCATAGAACGCCATTTCTTTTTAGTACCTAAACGGAAACGACGAAGCATTTTCCCCGAATTGGCAGTAACCTCCGGATAATAACGGGATAATCAGTAAACCTCTGATAATACTCATTCGCCGTCAACTTCCCTTGCCTCAACTTAGTGAATTCCTGCTTTTTGCCATTAATGTACTCAGGAGGCACGAATCTTTTCCAAAACAATTGCCTAAACACCTCCCAGTCAGTCATTTCCTCCGGGGACAAACGACGAACCTCCTGCTCCCACCAGGGTGCAAATTCCTGACCCAAGAACCAAGATGTCGTCTCAACCCTCTTCTCAACAAGGAGATTCCCCTGATTATGCAATACACAAAAGGTCTTTTCAATATGTTCCAGCCACCGCTCAGCTCCCTCAAAACCCTCGTGGCCCTGGAACTTATCTAGCTTCAGATTGTACATAGTCTCCAGAGGAGTCTTCTGGGGAGGGCGGAGCGCTAATTGAATAGCGGTAGCGATAGCTTCCCCCAATTGAGCTACATCGGGGAAATTAGGCTCAGGAGAGCGACGTGGTTCCCTACGAGGAGGCATAGTTCTGACAGAAGACACCAAAACAATTAGAACACTCATAAAAATACAGGACTGCCAAACCTATGCTCTGATACCAAACTAACACACCCCGACCGAAATCAAAGCGTGCTGGCAGTCATGTGAGGGTGACGTAATCATGTGCACAGTGCGGAAGCTCAGAATAATAATAAAGTACGAACAATAAAAACTAAGCTACACACAGAGTAGATAACATACATGTGCAAGCGTAAGTGTGAAAAACAATATTCAGAGCACGGAAAACCTAGTGCAGTCCAGAGGAACAAACACTAATTAAAACACACCCAGAGGTGGTCCTACACTGGTGATAATCTGTCAGATATGCCGAGAATTCCTCGTGAGCCACCAAAAGAGCTATCCAACTAGAACCTGGAGGGGCGCAAAGAAGAAAGTGTGAGTGGGCAAAAACAAAGCTTTTCAAAATCATTTCATTAACAAAAGTTCTAACCCCTTGCCATAAAACTTGTATAGTTTCCCAGAAAATAGAATATACACATATATAGAAAACATGCTCAGAAATATGCCATGTCGAATGCCTCTGCATAAAATGTAAGTAACCCAGGTAATGTCAATCAATGCAATGTAATTTGTCAGCCGGAGTCACCTAACGTGACTTGTACAGCTGAAACTAGAGCTCAAATCCCTAACTTACTAACTATACCTGCACACGAGTCGGAACCACCTAAAGTGGTCTATACAACAGGACTGGGTGTAAATAAATACGCTCAAGTGCTACGATCATGTGAAGACTGGGCGAATAATCGCGGGTCACCTACGAGTCGGAACCACTTATAGTGGTTTGTACGACATGACTGTGCACCTAACTTGGATCCGAGATGAGCGTGTGGTACGGGAAGTGAACATCACGTGAAGGACTGTGTCTTACTCTGGGCGGAAGCACTAACACCGGGGGTGCAAGTTATGAGCTCTCTACGTATCTCACCTCACTATTAATCACAAACATAAACCATAACTTACCTGACACTTACCTGTGCGTCCGCAGCACCAAACATACATATATGCAACTACTAATGCATAATGAAATAGGCAAACGCAAAGCATGGCATGTAAAACATATAAACATTTCTTTTCATTTTCTGGGAAAATCCACAAGTATATAGGTATATACGGAAAACCAAAAGTCCACTCACTGGTATGTAGAAGGGTCGTAACCCCCTTACCTCGAGTGACTGCGCTCGTCCTCGGGATAGGTCTCACCTATATGCGAAACAACTATAAAAACGTTAATTTAAAGCACGTAACCAAAATTAGGTAATAACTTTTCATACAATGCTCAAATGGGGTGTATGAATACACCAACGTGATCTATTCAATCTCACGAACATCCCCATATTTTTAAAATAATTTTTCGATGTTTCACGCGCCCCCACGCGTCGGCCAAGGCATGGCCACATGTGTCGCCCACCCGTAGGTGCGTGCCTGGCACACTGACGGCGTTAGTTAACGCCGTCAGGAATATTCCGTTAAAATTAACAGATTCCGTTAAAGTTAACCTAACTCCGTTAGGAATATTCTGTCCAAATTGACGGAATATTCCATCCTCTTCTCCGGCCAACCTCCGGCGCCGTCGCCATCGCCAGAAAACTGGAAAATTTTCTAATCTTTGTTTCTCACTCATTTTTCAACCAAATTCCACAAAATTGGTACCAAAATGAAGCTTACAACAAAAAGAACAAAACCTTACCACTTTGGAGCCCTAAAACCAACGGAATCTCGCCGGAAAAACCCACGATACTCCGGCCAAACCTGCAACTCACGATCCCGACGTCCAAAACCTTCAAACGAACCACCCCGAGCTTCTAAGGACCTCACCAAGCTTCCTTTAAACCTGAAATTCCCAAAAACACACGATTTTACGTGTGCATGAACAGTACTCCGAATTGAACATCTCGGGTTCGACGTGAAAACAAAGGTTTCCTTACCTGAAATTGGTATGGTTGAACTCGTATGAATCTCACGAACACAAAGGTATGGTTTTCTACTTCGATCCATAACGTTTTCACAGGTTTTGGTCTTGGTCCGTACGAAGAAGAAGAAGAAGAGGGAGAGAGAGACACGGGATAGGGCAGAAGATGAGAATGAGAATGTGGGTGTGTGTGGTCTAGATGCAGCCAACCAAATTCCCAAAACAACCACACAATGAAACAAACCACTAGGGGCAAAACTGTCATTTCACACCTACGGTACGAATAATCCGGGATGGGCTGTCACACTAAAACTAAAAATATATGATAAAAAATTTAGTCATAAATATAAATATACTAATTGTAACATTTTTAACATTAAATGAATATATTTAGAAATAAAAAAATATTTTATTATTGAAATAATTAATGACGTTATCAATACCCAATGACCTTGATCAAAAATTGAAAAGGAGTAGGATTTTAATCAATGGAGTAGCAAAAGGAAGGATGAGAACCTAATTTCTCCAAGTTATAAATATAATACAATGATTTTAAAACATAAAAACTCATCGCAGGCTATTAAATTTGGAATGTGCTATCCACACACCCCATTTTACTTCTCACATGGCCCGTAATAATTTCTATCCGTTGATCTTCTTTAATTCATTCGATCCAATGACCGAAAATTAAAAAGGTGTGTGAGAAGTAAAATTGGGTGTGTGGATATCACACCCCTTAAATTTTTGTGAATATGTAATATTATCTATGCATGTTATGTTGGACATTTGATTACTTTTAATATATATATATATATATATATATATATAATTAACATGATGTTTAGTAGATTTGTAAATACTATACTTAAAAAAAAAAATTTAAAATAAAAAAAAGAAGAAGAAGAAGAAGAAGATGAACAACTTCTTTTTTTATAATTTGTTTTTGTCCACATGGTCTTCATCTTGTCTTTTTTTTTTTTAAGTAATTTTTTTTTTCAACAAACAATATTGTCTACACTATGGAGAAGGGTTGACTTAGCCTCAGAATGTGCTAGTAATAATGTAATTCGAAGTCGCATTTTTTTTAAAAGCGTTTAATGAATTTTAATTTTTATATAATCATAAAGTTTTACTGTATTAGTTTCAAGTAATTGACAAAGGTAAATTAGTAAATTTATAAGCCAAATTTTGACTAAACGGATTATACGAAAGTAAATTAAAACTTGAGAGGTGGTTTGTGTAATATTTCAAACGAGAAGAAGTTTTGTAAAAACTCAATAAACCTCAATGAGTGTTTAGTATGATTAACTCGATGTTATTGCTTGATAGATGTGTGGTTACAAAAATTATTTTTTACTTAGTTATTTTTATTGAAAGTTGTAAGGATACAAAAAATTGCATTAATAGTAGATCATGTCTGTTTTTAGGAGGTGGATTGTCTGCCCTCCCATTTCCATACTCTCCTAAGTCCTTCTATTTGTGTGATCACGGTTAAGCTACGTCAATAATTTATATTCCTATTACTTTTTGTTTTATTATTTCTATAAAAATTAATATAAAATGTTGACGTGGCTTAACCGCGTACATAGAGCATGAAGAGAGTATGAAAATAAAAGGGCAGACAATCCACCTCTCTGTTTTTAATATGTAGCCATTGAGAAAAGAGAGACACTAGTCTGAAATCGTGAATCGAACCAAAGAATCAGCATTATTACACTCACCAACATTACATGAAGAATTCGCATTTGATACGATTTTCGGGCACGATCCAGTTCAGTATTTGTCGCTTAAACTATGGATCGAATATACTGTTCGATCCGATTCTTAAAACCACAAACATAAATAAAAAAAATCTTTTTCTCATTTCCTTCATATTGGGCCGTGATGGGCCCATGTCCATCCTAAAACACAGCCTAGTAACTCCTGTCTTCTTCACCAACAGACGTGCAGCTTTTCAGACCCAGGTAAACGCTTCGGTTCCCCGAAGGGCTATAACTGTTTTTTCAAGCTTTTCTTACTATTGATTTTGGCATCGAAGATTCCCTTGCTTTTTCATCTTCCTCGTTGCGCTGGTGATACATAAATTCTGTACTACCTCTCTCAGTCACCAGACTGATTTTCCTCCCTGCTCCAGGCTCCAGAGGATAATAATTTCACAGCCCTTGGTTTTATGGGTAAGATTTTAAAAGAAAAAATTGATTTGCTTTTCCAACAGCTATATCGTTAAGGCTTTTTATTTTTTATTTTTCGTGTGAATTTCGTTAAGATTTTTGAATTTGAAATCTTTGTGTGTATATATGAACCTTCTGTGCGATTTGAGTTGATGCAATGGACTGTATGTGGTAAATACCCTCTTTTGGTGTGATTATATTTTAATCTCTCTTCACTTAGCTGTTAATGACTTAATGTATTTGAGAATTAATGAATCATATTCATATCATGTGCAGCACTGTGTTAGGAATGTTAACCTAACTTACATGTTTGTAATTGTATCTTTACCAGGTCATCCAACATGCTATATAAATCTTAAATCGGATAGGGAAAAACATAAATATTCAACTTTGCAGTAATGTTAATGATTTTACACAACACAGTGACTGAGAAAGCAAAATCAATTTTAAGAGTAATCAATGTAATTTGGGGCACTAAACAACCCATAACATGGTAATGATTTTGCTAACTTTGAATTCTTCGCATAGGACATACTCATGGAGTAAAAGGTTTACCTTGTGTTATTGTTCGTTCAACTTTCTGTTGCATTAAACATTCAATCTTGGAACACTTTTACCTCAAAAACCACATGTCATGCTGATTCTTCGTGTGTTGTTGGAGAGTGTATTAACTGGTGGTGTGAAAAATTACTAACTAGCTCACATTCTAGATGGAAGATAGAATAAATGGGCATTGTGTGAATGAGTAAGATTTTAATTTCTGCTAAATTAAATTTAAAATGTGAGAGCGGTAAATATAGAATCACAGTTCTATTCAATGTTGTTTCGTGATAATACAATTTGAACCTAAAAGTATAGGGTAATGCTAGAGAAACTAAATTTGTGGACTAAATTTGCAAACTAAACGATGTGTCACTAATAAGAAATAAGCACGTTAATCAACACTTGTGTAACAATCCACTTATCAACTTCCATGTCATTTAGTTTGCAAAATTTGGTCTACAAATTTAGTCTCCCTAGCTTACCTAAAAATATAACTTATATAACAATGAATGTCAAACTGTTACTTTGCAAAGTGCTCTTACATGAGCTCTGTTTGTGTTTGCAAGATACCATTATTTGGAAGTTCAGTCTTATGGGAAAAATACGAATGAAACTTGTGAAGACTAGGTGTCAATAGGATGTGGTAATATTAAAGAAAGGATTATGGATAGAATACATTTCAAACGGATTTGATGTAACTATATACCAGGAATCGGTTAAATCTGCATCTCCTTTATTATTAACCGAATCCCTATATTTGAACTTTGAAGTCATTCCTTCCGAGTGGGTCCACAAGTGTAAATTGGTATGAATGTGGAAGAAGATTGACAGAAAAAAGAATTCAGTATTGTATATAGGGTACCCTGGCTGTCCATTGTCCAAAAAGAAAGATTTGACTAGAAATTCTGTGTATCTGGTCGTTAGTACTCAGTTGAAGGTTGGTCTTCGGTTGGTGTTTGAGATATGTTGTTGTTTCGCCTATCAATGATTCATGGTTTCATCCTTCATCAAAGTGATATGTTATACTGTGCTTTGTGAAGAAGTTGATGATGGGTGGAACTTTCATCCATTTCCTACTCTGTATACGGCTGTGTATCAAATCTGTATGTGGTTGCTGCTTTAATATCTAAACAAGTTATATTCTTTTAGTGTAGAATTGGAATGATTTTGGGCTTTTTGAGTTTTTGGTCATTCTGGAAACAATACACAATAAAGTTCAAATCAGAACTTCTCAGTTGTTAATATAATTGAGTGTTGAAGCATCTCTATTGGTCCTAGTGCACAAATGAATTTTGTGGATGAGGATGCTTCTGGCTCTGGAGACGATGCAAACATGCAAGATGGAAACAAGAATCATTCTGGGATACCATCAAGTTCAGGTCGTCGAAAGAGAAGTCGCAAGGCTACCGGTGATGCTATAGTGGATGCTATGCTCGAAATAGCTGCTGCTTCAAAAATGAGGGCAGCAGCAATATTGAAGAGCGAGGAACGGTTTTCTATAAGCAAATGCATAAAGGTATTGGATGACATGTCAGGCATCGATCAGCAGATCTACTTTTGTGCATTGGATTTATTCGAGAACTCCAATGCGAGAGAAACTTTCATATCTCTTAGAAGTGAGAAACGACTACCGTGGTTGCAACGCAAGTTTAGTGCTTCCTCTAATTGAATAGATGAGCAGTATTATCGAATTCCTTCTTTTTATTTTATGTGTAGTTGAAGTGTCAAAGATTCTTATGGGTTGTATTGAGTTCACTCCGAACCGTTGATATTGTAACTAGTATGACATTCTATTTTACGGCTGTGTCATTTTTTGGATTGACATTAGAGGGTATTTAGTGGATTTCTATTTTATATTTTTATGAAATTAGAGGAATTAGTTTCCATTTGATGGTTTATTGTTTTTGTTTGAAGGCTGGCCACGCCGCTCAAGTGATTGTCTTGTGTAGTATCTTAATTTTAATTTTGCAGATACATCAGCTGTCATGGATGATTTTGACTTAGAATTGGAAGAGATGGAACTAACTGCAGCAGCTGCTGGTTACTATTATTATAACAGTATTACCAGGCAACCTTGTCGTGGTCTGTCACCTAGTAAAGCATCTGGATTTATGACCGAAGTCCTGAGTGGTCATGATGATGTGTTCCAGGAAATGTTTCGGATGGATAAACATGTGTTTCACAAGTTATGTGACATTCTCCGGCAAAGAGGAATGCTACGTGATACTGCTGGTGTTATGATAGAGGAGCAGCTGGGAATCTTTTTGAATATTATTGGCCATAATGAACGCAACAGAGTTATCCAAGAGCGATTTCATCATTCAGGTGAAACCATCAGCCGTCATTTCAATAATGTGTTGAAGGCAGTCAAGTCACTGTCACGCGAATTTCTACAAACACCAACCCCCACCAGACCTTCAGAAATCCATGGAAGCATTAGATTTTATCCATATTTCCAGGTTTTAGTCAAGTTACATACTTTTCTCACTTTATTTATTTATTTATTTTGCCATTTACTTTTAGTTACTATCTACTTTAGGATTTGTATCTTATAGCAACAAAATTATCTGTCTATTCTTAGGATTGTCTCGGAGTCATTGGTGGAATGCACATTCCAGCCCATGTCCCAGCCAAAGATCAATCCCGGTTTCGAAATAAGAAAGGTGTTCTTTCACAAAATGTGTTGGCAGCTTGCACGTTTGACCTTCAGTTTATATTCATTTATCCTGGCTGGGAAGGCTCAGCTGCAGGAGCCCGTGTGTTGAAGGCAGTCCTTGATGATCCGCATCAGAATTTCCCTCGTATTCCTGAAGGTGCGCCTTCGATATATTATCTGTAACATGCTGCCTGTAAGCATTATTTCTTTATCATGACATTGCACTTTGTAATGCCATCTACAACTTACTTTTATCAATGATTTTATCTTGCAGGAAAATATTACCTTGTCGACACAGGATATGCAAATATGAAAGGCTTTATTGCCCCATTTCAAGGCGTCAGGTATCATGCTAATGAATATAGAGGTGCAAATCAATTACCTAGAAATGCAAGGGAGCTATTTAATCACAGGCACTCATCTCTTAGGAATGTCATCCAGAGATCTTTTTATTTGTTGAAGACTAGGTTTCCGATACTCAAACTTGCTCCTCAATACGCATTTCATATTCAAAGGGATATAGTTATAGCTGCGTGTGTTCTACACAATTACATCCGGCGTATGTCAAAAAAGGATTGGCTGTTTTCGAGTGCGGAAGGGACAAAAATGGATGAATTGCCTGATCTCGATGAAAATCTTGACACAGAGTTACTTACTTCGATACAAGAACATGTTGCTTTATCAGTGAGAGAGTCAATTGCCACAGAAATGTGGGATGACTTTATAAATAAATGGGATCAATGGTAACTGTCAGCAGTAGCTTTTATTATGGTGATATTTTCAAACCGTAAGAGGCATCCTTTGACGAGGAGCAAAGCAAGGAAGTTATTGTTTGGGATACATCTTAGCATTTGGTCTTTGTCCGGCTCAAGACGTAAAACCTAGCTTTTTTTTTTTTTTTTTATATAGAGAGGTTAAATGATGCAGATACTATGATTGTGATAATTGTAATTATTTGTAAGAAAGTGCTATTCACACACCTATTTTTACCTTCCACACACCTCTGTTAATTTTGGCCATAGATCTTTAATTCATTCTATCAAATGGGTGAAAATTGGGAGAGGTGTGTGGATAGCAGTACCTATTTATAATTTGACCATTTCTGCTGTGAGGCCGTAACTAAGGAAAGTACTGAGGATCAGTTTTTTTTTCTAGGTTCATTTAACATCTACAGAGATTAATCATGACACAAAAGCAATTAAATTTTAATTAGCATGAGTTTAAAATCAAAATCAATTTGTATGTATTTTTACGTAAATAGTTGATGTATTTTTCGGTGCAAATGCTCTCAGAACTCATATCTAAGCATTCAAAGTCAAGGTTTGTCCCAAAAAAAAAAAAAACAAAAGCATTCAAAATCAAGGATTCAAAACCTAAATCTAAAGATATTTCAATTGGAAAAAAAAAAAAAAGGAAAACAAAACAAAAAATATTTCAATTGAATAGTGGTTTTTCAAATAAAGTAAGTAGGAAGACAACCAAAACAAAACAAAAGCTTTACGGATAGGAATAGGATAATGTCCCCAGATTTTGCTCATCTATTATGTGAGTCCGCTTATTTAAATTTTGTTAATCTCTATTTTTCCACAAATTTTGCTTATCTATTATGTGAGTCCGCTTATTTAAAATGGTCTTTGAAAGTTGTCTCAAAATAAATTACAATTTATATGCAAATAACAAATGTATCCATTTTTAATTATACCAAAATCTATTATGATAAATGTGACGACCCGTTCTGAATTATTATATATTTTTCTCCCCGAGTGTGTAAAGTGATGGCAATGCCTCGTGGTTTAGTGACGTGGATGTACACATGTAGTTTTAAATTATTATTTCTACCATCGTACTTAAATTGTACTCGACGCCATGAGTGTGCTAATGTGAACTAGGGTCGAATCGAATTCGTAACGAAGAAGTTACGAACAAACGAGTGTGTAAATGGGTAGAAATATATTTTTATGGGTTAGCTATACCTTACCCACCAATCACCTTAGTTCATGATTTCTTTGGCCCAATTAAATTAAAAATCTTTCTCCTTTTTCCTTCTGCCCAATCACGCACGCACACACCTTCACTCTCTCTCTTCTCTCGGACCTTCTTCTTCTTTCTTCTCCTTCCGTACACTCGAGCCACCTTTACCTCACAATCATCATCAACACATCACAGATCGAACTGGAAATCATTACCATCGCACTCACCTTGACCCCACGAACTCATTGGTACCTTTAGGTCGAGGACTAGACGTCGGAAATTCAAGAACTCGCGAGCTCTGGCGAGGTGTATTTTTCTACGTCGGGATCGTGGTCTTTTTCTAAGGTTTAAAGGCTCGAGTGGGTCCTAATCAATTTTATAGGGACCCTAGATTGGTTTTGGAGCAATTTGAACTTTGGAATAGGCGAGAACATGGAGTTACAGGTTGGCCGGTTGTTCCAAGCCTTATTCCGACCACTTTTCGTCGGTTTTAGGACCTCAAATAGGTAAGATTGTGTTCTTCTAGTTAAGAGCTTCAATTCCATATAAAACTCATGGAATTTGGTTGAAAAATGATGAAGATATTAAAGTTTTAAGATTTTCCAGAAACCAGCGGCACATACCACGGCCGGCGGCGGATTCCGGCGAAGCCACCGGATAAAGAGGAGTATATTCCGTCAACTTTGACGGAATATATCGACAGTGTCAGGTAACTCCGTTACCTTTTAAACGGAATATTCCCTAACGTCGTTAGGGATTCCGTCAGCGTGCCAGGCACGTGCCTGCGCGTGGCTAGCTCGTGTGGCCGTGCCTTGGCCGGCGCGTGAGATGTCAGGAAATTAATCTACAAATATCGGGGTGTTTGTATTGTTGAGTAGGTCACGTTGGTATATACAAACATCCCATTTGAGCAACGTATGAGAAGTTATTCCTAGGGTTTGTGTATGTGCTTTAAAATTAATGTAAAATTAGTTATTTCGCATATAGGTGAGACGTACTCGAAGGACTAGTGTGGTTAGGCGAGACTTAGGGGCTACGATCCTGCTACTTACTAATGAGTGGGCTTTCTTTTCTATATATATGTATATATGCTTATGATTCCCATAAACTATTTTAAATGAACATATGTTTTAAATGCCATGTCATGTGTGCATTATGTGTTAGTATTGCATTAGTATAGCTATGCATAGTATTGGATGAGATTGTAGAGGCTCAGGTGAGTACATCATGATGGTATTGGTTGCGTTGTGTGTGGTTATAAGTTGATGCATTTTGAGCTCATTATCCTACACCGCGGTGTTAGTGCTCCCGCCTTGGCCAGAACATAGTCCTTCACGTGATGTTCACCTCCCGCACCATATGCTCACCTTGGATCCAAGTTTGGTGCACATCCCTGTCGTACAGACCACAATAGGTGGTTCCAACTCATAGGTGACCTGCGATTATTCGCACAGCCTTCACGTGATCATAGCACTTGAGCGTACTTATCTACACCCAACTCTGTCGTACAGACCATAATAGGTGGTTTCGACTCATGTGCAGGCAAACTTGATGAGCTATAGATTCAATCGTATAGGTCACATTAGGTGACTTCGGCTGACATACTATTTTACATTGATTCGTATCACCTGGCTTACACATTTTATGGTTGAACATCTTGACATGGCATACCTCTATTTTCACTGCTTGTAAGCATTATCCTTATGTACCTACGTGTTGTTATTTTCTGGGAAATTATACAGGTTTTACAATGAGGGGTTAGTATGTTTATAAAGACAACTGTGTTTTCAAAAGCTTTGTTTTTGCCCACTCACATTTTCTGTTTTGCGCCCCTCCATGTTCTAGGTAGCTAGTCATCCTTGGTGGCTCACGAGGACTTTCACGGCGATTCTGACATCTCTATAAATAAGTAGGGATCTCTTCCTTGTTAGTATAATTAGTACTTAGTTGGTTCGACTGCACTTTTGTTTACCTATGCTCTGATATTTGTATAACTTGCTTGGTCACCTTCACTCACTTATATTATCTTAGTTTAGATAAGTTTGGTTTTAGGTTTTTTATTTATTCGCTTTTCTTTTATTATCTCTTTTGTTGCACATTTTGCTACGTTACCCTCACGTGACAGCCAGCACGTCTTGACCTTGGTCGGGGTGTGTCAATAAAACTCCACAACCTCCCCTGATAATTTAATTTTATTTCAAAATTTTAAGCAAATTTTTTTTTACTGATTTTGATTTTCCTCTTCTTGTTTTTTTTTTCCTTCAACCAAATGAGAATGTAAAAGAAAAATTGAGTAATACAGTCACACCCCAATCTCGAGACACGTTTAGGATTGACACGTGACGTTAGGTCGTAACTGGACAACCACATACAATCAAGCTAGATGTTGTACATCAATAATATACATACACAAGCACTCATAAACCAATTCAGTGGTATCACAAAGTGAAGTAGCGAAAAAAATCATAGTTCAATTATCCTTTCCTCTTATTTTATATTAGACTGCACCCTGAAACGGGGTCAAGCCATTCATAGTTCACTCTTTGTTATACTTTGGCATTTCTCATGGCATTCCTAGCAAGAAAACATAGAGTTCTAGACAACTCTTGACATAAGTGATGCACCAATATGTCATTCAATCTTTCACATACCTCAAAATAATTTCCTACAACAAAACCATAATCAATACCAACTAACATTTCAATGAACCAACTATGCACAAAAAATCACATTTAACCACGTTAATCAATCAATAAGATCAAACATTACTTCACGAATTTTAACAAAGTCAATTTTCGTAAGGTTTGTCGTAATTTTCTACCAGTTACAAACACGAGCGTAATTTTGAGCAACTTCTATTCACAAAAATCTAATATTTCAGACCAATTCAGCAAAATCAGTAGGAAGCGGATTCTAGACCAACTCAATAAAACCATCCTTAAAATGCGTATGGTCTCCTAATGTGGATTAACCGGGCATGACCACTTATGGAACGATGTAACCAAATAGGTAGTGACCCCTTCATGTTGATTAACTAGGCAGAACTATAGGCAAACAAATCATAATGTGGGCCTCAATGCGGATTAAACAAGCATGACCATATGGTTCTCTAATTCGGATTAACTAGATAGAACCAAAAGCAGACAAATAATAGAGTGGTCCCCCATTGCGGATTAATCAGGCAAGACCTTCGGCATACTTATGATAGTATGGTCCCCTAATGCGGATTAACTAAGCAAGACCATCGATGTACCACACTATTACATGGTGCATTCTCATAATCAAACATCTAACGTGCTAAATACTACATCATGAAAACTACATCACACATCATACATAATTCATCACCCTAAACCATAAACCCTACCTTATCGATTAAACATAACAACCAAATAACTAGTCACCCAACATACAAGTTCTACATAATAACTAAACATAACAACCAAATAACTAGTCACCAACGATAAGTTCTACATAATAACTAAAATATGGTGCCCCCCTCATCTTCTCATACCAACATTTCTCATTAACAATACTCTTATCTAGAAGCCTAATAATCACATAGGTCCGCCATTTGCACGTAAACTGAGGTACACATTGCTAGAGACTAGAGTGGCATGTTGACTAGAATAGGCCCAAAAGCTTTATTAAGTCTTTAATCTGTAGACTTCGGTCCGAATATGGTTGCTAGATTTATTTCCCTTCCTCATTATCACCTCAAAAAAGGGCTTGCCGAATTTTTCTTGAGGCTAAGTGTACTGCGGCTTCGGTCAAATTAAGGATATTTTATGTACCCTTTAGCCTCACCTTCTATCCATGTGTTACTATGTTTGTATATATTTGTAGGGATTAGTGAATGAGATTTGGATCTGATGACTATCTTTTGGTTCTGCGTCTTTGGTGAAGAAATTTGGATGTAGCGTGGGTTTGGTACTTTTGTGCTGCGATGTCTTGTTTGTTTTCACCACTTGGTCGCTTTCTCTAGTGATGTTGCTTCGGTAGCTGCTAGTAAGACTTTTGTAGCGGTGATGGCAGCAGACGCTACTTTTTGCGGCTAGAAATTAGGAATTTGGATTTCCATTTTAGTTTTATTTAATTGGACTAGACTTTTATGTATCTGTTTCTCCCAAATGTATGTGGGTTATTTTGCCT